CCCGATACGCAAAACGGAAATGACGACACGGTGTACATGCACATTTCGATCAAGATAATTGAGTCCGAGCTGTACTTTTTCCGGAAGTACGTCACGAAAATGGACGCTGATGACGATGTGTCGAGCCACCTTAAGTCTGCCGATGAACCGTCACACTATCACACCAAAACAACATTAAGTCTGCCGATGAACCGTCACACTATCACACCAAAACAACATTAAGTCTGCCGATGAACCGTCACACTATCACATCAAAACAGCATTAAGTCTGCCGTTGAACCGTCACACTATCACACACCAAAACAACATTATGTCTGCCGATGAACCGTCACACTATCACACCAAAACAGCATTAAGTCTGCCGATGAACCGTAACACTATCACACCAAAACAACATTAAGTCTGCAGATGAACCGTCACACTATCACACCAAAACAACATTAAGTCTGCCGATGAACCGTCACACTATCACACCAAATCAACATTAAGTCTGCCGATGAACCGTCACACTATCACACCCCAAAACAACATTATGTCTGCCGATGAACCGTCACACTATCACACCAAATCAACATTAAGTCTGCCGATGAACCGTCACACTATCACCCCAAAACAACATTAAGTCTGCCGATGAACCGTCACACTATCACATCAAAACAACATTAAGTCTGGCGATGAACCGTAACACTATCAGTCACACTATCACACACCAAAACAACATTATGTCTGCCGATGAACCGTCACACTATCACACCAAAGCAACATTAAGTCTGCCGATGAACCGTCACACTATCACATCAAAACAACATTAAGTCTGCCGATGAACCGTCACACTATCACACCAAAACAGCATTAAATCTGCCGATGAACCGTCACACTATCACACCAAAACAGCATTAAATCTGCCGATGAACCGTCACACTATCACACCAAAACAGCATTAAATCTGCCGATGAACCGTCACACTATCACACCAAATCAACATTAAGTCTGCCGATGAACCGTCACACTATCACCCCAAAACAACATTAAGTCTGCCGATGAACCGTCACACTATCACCCCAAAACAACATTAAGTCTGCCGATGAACCGTCACACTATCACATCAAAACAACATTAAGTCTGCCGATGAACCGTCACACTATCACATCAAAACAACATTAAGTCTGGCGATGAACCGTAACACTATCACATCAAAACAACATTAACTCATGTCTTACGTTTTTCCGAGTACCGTCTTCGCATCATCCGGATCTCTCGGTTGATAGTTCGGATTTCCTTGCTATGTCGTGTTTTCATCCTTTCCACCTCCTCCGCATAATTGCGCGTGTCAGTCTGGCACGCGACCGCTGGCTTCACTTCTGGTTCATATTCACAGTTACCTGTTGGTTGTTCTTCCTCAAATTGCACTTCCGGTATAGTTATAATTGTCAGTTTGTACTTCCGGAGATACCACACTACAATGAATGGAAATAAGACAGTGATTTCTTATAATTAGATTGGTGTCCAGGTCAAATGAAAAAATATCAGAATTTAATCTATTTTTTAGTTTTTAAATAAAAATCATTTCCATTTGTGTGATGGTTTTCTTTCTAATTTATAAAGGTGAGTATAAAGCGATGATAACATAGTAACTATTAACATTCAGGTATATATAATGAAAAATGGTACAGCGAGTGTCAGCTTCCGGAAGGTTTTCAGGCGGCGATAGTATTGTGTGTAGATGGGTTGTACATCTATCCGGATAGGGCTAAGAATGAACTATGCTAGATTATCATAACAAGTGAATTAATAAATAACTAAATATAACAATATGTACTGTTATACACGTATGTGTTTCAGTAAACACGTTCATTTACTGCACTTCTTACTACGATTGCAGAATGTGATCCATTATTGTTAGATTTCTCGAATGGCCGAGTTTTAGACATGGCATAGTCGATTGGTTACCGGTATGTGTTTTAATACTGCATTTTATTATATTGTGAATGACGTTGTATTACTATAAGCTAAATTTAAAAACGAATTGCTATAAGCAATATATTTCATATTTGTTCAAATCCAATATTATTCCAGGAATATATCTTTCAGTAATCATGAAGACAGCGTTGTTTAGAGTAACTAATTGTTCTTAGCCAGAAACCGTTCTCGTGCTCAAATAGGGATTTTGTGATCAAACCAAATTTCTTGTTCTGGTTATAAATTAATAAACAAATTTTATTTTGTCAATTATTCAGAAACAAAATGAAGGGATTTAAAGCAAAATACTGTTTTCAATGTTTACATTTGACTTTTTGATAGTTCGATATGAATTAAGCGAGTGACAAGAAGAGTTGGTTTGAGCACATAATCCATGCTTGAGCATGCGAACGGTTTCATGAATACGGATCCCGTTAATCTGAAGATTACAGTGAATTCTGACTTACCCTGGGCGATCCTGTAGAGTGTGAAGCACAACGTCACAACGAGGCAAAACTCGGCGACGTATCCCTGAAACACCAGTAACGAAATAATGCAGGGTCGGATTTAAACCTACAGACCTTTGGCCATATTAAGGATCCCCATAATTCTGCCTGCCCTGTAGCTATGAATTGGAAACCTATTGTCTGACCTGAATATATCTTTTATAAACAAGAAAATGCAGCAAAGCTAATGGACACAAGATCTGTAGACGAAAATCACCTACTGACAGTCTAACAACCACGAGAGACAGATCCTGCACTCTTGAATTTATTCTTCGAATAGTAATGGCGGTAATGTTAACCTTCAGAATATTCTGTTCACGCTCAATATCCTCACATGATTCACCATTGTCGTCACTCCATAAATTTCTCAAGACACGAAATTGTATATTATTTTACTGCATGCTTAAAAGTCAACAATTTGGTAACAACCTCACTTCCTAAAAGATAACATACAGTATACATGATGTACGAAAACAAACTACGCCAAAACGCTAGTTTTCTAGTTGTAGTTGTTTTAAACGGTTAAAATACATATCTAGTGTTCAACGGGAAAATCATTAATTTTCTTTATAATAGAACTTTTAAAGATTTTGAAGCGTAATGTTGTGGGGGTGGAGAGTGTCGGGGGTAGACCGAGGGAGGGTGTGTGGGATGTGTAGAGTGTCGGGGGCAGAGCGGGGGAGGGTGTGTGGGGGTGGAGAGTGCACGAGATAGAGTGGGTGCGGGGTATGTGATGTGGAGAGGTTAGGGGATAAAGTTGGGCGGGTTCGTTGGGTGTGCAGGGTGCCAAGTGAAGAGAGGGGGTGTAGGGTGTGGTGAGTGTCAGGGGTAGAGCAGGGGAGGGGGTGTGGGGTGTTGAGGGTATCCGGGGTAGAGCGGGGGAGGGGTGTTGAGGGTCTCGGGGTAGGGCAGGGGAAGGGGTGTGGGGTGTTGAGGGTCTCGGGGGTAGAGCGGGGGCAGGGTTGTGGAGAGGTTCGGAGAGGAGCTGGGGCGGAAGTGTGGATTTGGAGAGTTCCGGCAGTAGAGTTGGCGCGGGTGTGTGGGGTGTGCAGAGAGCCGCTGGAAGAGTGGGGATGTGGTGTGTGTAAAGTGTCAGGGGTAGAGCGGGCAGAGGTATAGCGGGGGAGGGGGTTTGGGATGTGGAGAGTGCCGGAGGTAGAGTGGTGGAGGGGTGTGGGGGTGGAGAGTGTCAGGGGGAGGGGGTGTGGGATGTGGAGAGTGCCGGAGATAAATCGGGGAAGGGTGTGTTAGGTGTGGAAAGTGTCGGGGGTAGAGTGGGGGAGAGGGTGTCGGATGTATAGA